TTTCCACGAAGATATAATTGATAACAAAAAATTGGTTTTCGTTAAAAACATGAGTAGGCGTTAGACAAATAAGGATTATTAGAAAAGCTCACAGAGTGCTTCTTGACAGGTGGTGGTGATGGTGATTACAACCGTTGGAACTACCAGAACGGGTACGTGAACTCGCCGGCATGGCACGTGCCTTACCGGGTGAACCAGGTGCGTAACGTAATGGTTCACGCGACGCCGTTTCATCTGACGAATCGCTTCTTACCGGTCACACCCATCTATAATCCACGATGAAGCGATGAATTTCATGATGTATATCGAGTGGAAAGTTCTAAGTTAACATAAAAGTCTACTGTGGGTCTGCTTAAAGTAGGCCAATCGATACTAAGAATCATATCAACACCGGCATCATCATCATCTTTCTCCATACTTCGTAGTCTCAAGGAGTTCTGCTTGTATCTAACCAATGCCAAAGCTTTATTATTTAAAGAAATTTTCCATTGTTGCTGAATTTTTTTTCAATTTTGTTATAGTGTTATACACAGAATCACAATCACTTTTGCTCGCAATCCAAGCACTTTCACCAAATTTTTCTACAATAAATAACGATGAATCAGATCAGAATATCTTGATTTAATAGATATGCTAAATCCATGTAAGACTTTTGATATGAATATGTAGCGTTTAAGGATGTACGAATTAAAAATGAGACAATCTTGTACAAATTATTTGATTGATTTCTGCTCTGATAAGCATCGTTTATTATGCAATATTTATAAAACAAAAGCAAGCACTCCCGATTTTCTTTACAAAACGTTTTTGTAAATTAAAAAAAAAAATCCACTACCGTAGATATTGATGTCTCATCACTATTCGTTTAGTTTTAAATTCACTCACGAAAAATAAAGCAATTTACCGTTTTTCAACCAGATGTTAAGACACTAGTCAATCTTTGAAGTTTTCATTCATTGCTTAAATTTTGATATCACATGTAACCATATAATCCTTCAGTATTAGTTCCATCAAACACGAATTTGTAGTATAATCGTTGCTAGTTTTTCCAGTTATAACATTTTGTTGCTCTAGTCCCAATGTCACAAGTCCTTAATTATTGGATATACTTTTGTCTGTAGATATAATTCCACCTTCAAAATAATTATTCCGAAAATAGACTGTAAAAAATGTAAAATTGATTCATTTATCAAAAACTTACATCCTACCGAATCATCTCTCACGTCATGAATTTAATCACAACTCAGATTACTGCTGGTGAAAAGATTAAAAAATCTTTGTGTCTATTACAACCAACTTTTTAAGAATACGTCAATAAGTCGTAACTTATCTACATTTTACTGGTCGTTTATTAACATATTAATGTTGTCTACTGAAAAATATTCCTTTTACCTTATAAAACTTACCAAAACTTCATTATATCCCGCTGAAATAACCAAAACGCTGTTTGATATTGAATTTCCCGCATCTATTTTCAACCGTTGGTACTTATACTCGTATACTAGTACATGAATATACATCCATAACTGTGAACCATTACGTAGCGACCCAAATATAAATAAACCTTTTTAAAAAGTACAAACTCATCATGAAAGTAATGATTACCAAAGCTATTATTTGTTCTCGTCTTGAATGTTGATGTTATTTATAAAAAAAGTAAATGCTACTGATGTAATTTTTTTTGTTCCATGGAGTTTATGCTTTTTACTGAGTAATATATATATGCATATATGTATATACATATAGTAATCACCAACCACTGCCACTCGTCACGATCTACTACACCTTTTCGTCTTTCAGTTCCAATGCTCAACGGACCAGATTGCTGGCAAGACCATCCCGTTAATTTACTTTTTTATATTCGCATTTATATATGAAACTTTATTTAGTATACTCAAATTTACATGAGATACTGTTTTTCTTCCATTTATGTTTGATCTTTTCAATTTCCAGTTTAAAAAACAAATCTTATATAAATTACAGATTTGATTAACCCTGGAACGTCATACTTTGGATACAATAATAATATTAACTTTATAGTACAATTTAGAAATGTATAAATTTATAATTTAAATGTTCATACATTTTCATACCATTTTAGCAATATGTGACTGATTTCACTTTTTTGCACATTTATAATATACGTAGGTAATTTAAGAATTTTATTAAGGTGTTCCAGGTATCCATCACAATAAAATCCACGCACAATTTATATATTCATTCGCTCTAATCGAATGATTTTATTTTTTACTGATATATTTCTGTATCAAAGTGAGTAAAGGAAACAAAACGAATTCGAATAGTTTTAAAGATTTTTACGTCCAGGTCTTTGTAACATGTATAGATAAGCCCTTGCATCGAGGTTCTTGATCCTCTGAGTGACTGAGTGATTCACTGCATGTACGGCATGATCTTGATACAAACAGTACCTTATTCCCTTTCTTAATTTGATACTTCATTGAAAAAGGCTCTCTCGCACATACTAAAAGTCACCCGGTATACTTGTAATGTAATGTTATGAAATCAAGCGCGCCCTTAGGTGGTGAATCGGCAAAATAAATATAATATGTACTATAATATGAGCCAACTTTGTCTGACTTGTGTTATACATGCAAAAGAAATACGTTTTAATTGAATGTCTATGTTAGGAAGATTGAACAGTGTGGCAAGTTATTCTCAGTACCTCGCGTCTTCCAAATAATAAACAAATGATAGCCTCGGAACGGCTCAAAGAGCAGATCAACAGTTTTTTTGGTTCATTAAATTGTTGTTAATGAATGTACCTAGCAATAATTTGAAATTCTGTTCTTTGCATTCTGAATATAGAATTTTCTATTTCTTTGTATGAAAGCTTAATGAAATATTTAATATTTGTCATGAGCGAGGATATTAATTGAATAATTGGTTGGCGCAATTAAAAATATTAATTGTAAATAATTCGTGATTGCAATTTATCAAAAAAAAAATCTGTTTTACTATAACTGTGAGAAGATTCTGGATTGAAATTTATTGTTATAAATAGTAGTAAGAAATGGATGTTCGTTATAGTTATTTGAGAAAAATATAATTATATTACGTTTTATCCTAATGTGTGCAAATAAGTTAATTTAAAATCAAATACTGATTATGAATTAAAGTCTTGTTTAAAAAGGCCGAGGCTGTACGAAAATTAACTCATACAGTGTTATAGTCATAGGATGAGAGACGTGCAAAAAAAGCGTGATTATATGAGAAAAAATTTTTTTCCAACTCAGTATAATAACTGAAAAAATAAGAAAACAGGGCGCAAAAAGGTATATACATATAGATTATGAATATACAGTACGTGTAAATTTATATAATAATACTCGTTATCATCCTTTGTTTCTATTTGTGTAGTTTTTAAATGGCAAGATTATAAAAAAATTAATTAAAAATATTACTATCGAACGAATAAATCAATAAGGAAATACTTGTTATTACTATTATGATATTCGTTATAAGCACGCGTAACTTCCTCGATCAATACATTTAAATTTAAAAAATTATAATTGGGGAAGCAGGGGTATCATATTTAATGATATTAAAAAAAAACCGTAAAGAATTTGCCAATACCAGTTGTAGGAAGTCTATTGTACATTGATTATTGATACATTTACCTAATATACATATGATAATAAATTATATACAAAGTCAATTTCACAGGCGTATTAACTTTCTTGCGTCAATTCCGTTCTACAATTCGTATGATTTTGTTTTTAATTTGAATAAGTCTAAGCTATTCTAAGCTTTTAAACCATTTTTTTTTGTTCACTATTAATACTTAAACGACATAAACGTGTTGGTTTATTTCTTCATTACTGTTAAGTTTTGATTAATATATTTGGTTCATTTGAATTCTTATCCTACGTTTATTTTTTTTTTCTTTATTTTATCGCGTTTTTCTTTGACATTATTATTTCGTATCTTTTTATCGCACTCCTGGAATTGTTGGTCGACTGGATGACAATACCAAGTGTGAGTAAAGCGCAGAGATGCAAAACCTTTTCTTAGCTATGATTTGTGATCCCTCATCTTAGGTCTTAATAGATGTCTACTTTGTTTTTGCCTATATTTTAAATAATACAGTCGTGTATAAGATTAGTTATACGTACGATTATCTTCCTTATCATTGTATCTGGTTATTCAATGTTTCTTGCACATTTTAGCAACGTAGATTCGTTTTAAGTGTAAATCGTATACCATTAGTTTATTTTTGCACTTGCGTTTGCTTGCTTTGTATAAGATAGGACTTTTTTAGTCACATTGTTTTACGTTCATGATAATTTTTTGATTAGACTGTTTAGATTGTTATGTAGAAGTTTAATTTATTAGACTTTGATTAATTTTATTTTTAGGCTTCAATATTGAACTGCATGTAAATCATAGTCAATCATAGTGAAAATTTGTTTCCGAGTAGTTTAAGCGTAATATCAGTATTTTCAATTCTGCTGTCCATACCGTAGTCATGAACTATTGGACCCCGAAAATCTTGGTCACTGATATCACGCTCCAGATAACCCGTTACTTAATGTCTCAAGTACACACTTGCAAGACGTTACTGCTCATAATATGTAGTTCAAGATTTTTTTACATTTTACAAACTTTGCCCTTATCATTGCTCTTTATAAAAATGAAGAACATTCCCGAGATGGTTGACCACGTGTTATTTAAGGCATGTCTATGTATGATTGTACCTCCATACGCCTTATCATCGGTGCTAAACATTATTATAAGCTGTAACTTTTTGCTTTAAATCATTATTATACTTTATGCGTAAGATTATTATCGCTTCTATGTTTATGTTTAGACACATAGAAACTATGATTTTATTGTCAAGAAGTTCGAATTTTTATAGAGCTGTTGTACACGTTATGCGAATATCGTTATTTTAAACTATTAAAAGTTCCCTAGTACCCTTTATGTTAAAAAACGACACCTTTCTATCGGCACCGAGTTTATAACGTCAAATTACATTACAGAAGACATGGATGCCGAGAAGTCGCAGTCATCTCAGGAACAGAGCCAATCGCCGAATTCACCATGTAAATCCGAGAACAACAATTCTGTTTACTCGCGTGGCGAGTCTTTACTGGAGAAGCGCACGGCCAACGGTGGCTGCATCCAGGGAGTTGAGGACCAGATGTCACCAACCGAAATAAGTCCAATTAAACCTTTAAGGAACGGTGATGTCACCGACGATGGAGATACAAGAAGGACCAAGCGTTGGCCCACTGACAAGGCTTACTTCATTTCCAAGGAGTTGCTCATGACTGAGAGGACGTACAAGAAAGACATCGATGTCGTTAATATCGTATGTGATTAATTTTTGCGATTAAACTCTGATTTCATGCATACAAATTTATTACATCGATTATGTTTTGTACAGTGGCTTCGAGAAGAACTATCCAAAGAACCAGAGAATGAAAGTGATTTTTTGGTGACCCTACTTGAACTGCTGGCAGATGCTCATGGTCCGTGTTTGCAAGAGATGGAAACACGACTGTCGCACTGGGATAGTAATTCCCGTCACAACATTGGTTATTTTCTCTACAACACATTGCTGAATGTACTGCCACTTTACGATCAGTATCTGGAAAATCTAATGCCCGTGTTGGAGAAGTTTGAGTACTTGATGCGTACGTCCAAGCACTTTGACCAACTTTGCCGAGACTTTGAGTCTCAAAAGTACTGCTATTTACCCCTCACGAGTTTTTTGCTCAAGCCTCTGCAGCGTCTACTCCATTATAACAGTATTATCGATAGTAAGCAACTTTCTGAAGAATTTATTAGCAAGTTTCTGACAACGAATAAATTTCAATTCGACTGTTTTTTTTTAGGATTGTTAGATTATTATCCTAAAGACCACACAGATTTCGAAGACTGCTTAGCTGCAAGAGATAGATTGGGAGAGACGCTGCTCGAAGGATTAACTGTTCTTAATCAAGCTGTAATTATCCTCGTGTTTTACATTATTACAATTTTGCTTAGTTTAACTGACTGTCGTCACTATTATTACTATTAGGAGAATTTGGTGCAACTTTGCGAACTACAGCGGGACATCTGTGGCTTTGATAATTTGGTGCAAGAAGGTCGAAGGTTCATCAGACAAGGTTGCTTGCAAAAATACAGCCGAAAAGGTTTCCAACAGAGAATGTTCTTCTTGGTGAGAAAATGGCATTTTAACATTTGTTACATGTGTAATTTTCTCAGAAAAATTAACATTTATCTTCCATTCTAGTTTTCTGATATTTTACTTTACACATTCCGATCACTGCAACCCACACAATGTTTCAAAGTCCATGGACAACTACCGTTGAAGAATATGAAGATTCAGGAGAATGACAACAAAACGAATACTGAATTTTCTTTTATGATTCATGGTCTTGGAAATCAGTAAGTTGTTTAATTGATTGTGAGGATCTTAAGATAAAATTTAATTCTTTAATAACGTAAAAATTATATTTTTCAGATCTTTGACAGTTGCTGCTAGCAGTGAAGAAGAGAAGGAAAGATGGTTGGAAGATCTGAATGCAGCTATCGCTCAATCGGATACAATAGACGGAAAAACGCCTTATTTAAACCTCAAGACTTGTAGTAAGCATATAAAATACTTAAAAAATAAGAAGTGATCTAATTTTAAAGAAAAAAGCATCATATTCTATAAAAAATGCATTAAAGTCTTAGGATCGGTAGATGAGGTTGGAGATGGTACCTCTAATGAAAGCGACCGAACAAGCTGCGGTGGAACCAAAACATCTCAGCGTAGTAATACGACCGTCCACGTTTGTTGGCACCGAAATACGAGTATCAGCTATAGCGATCAACTACGAGCCTTCCAGGTAGCGTAAACCTTTTCAATACTGTACTTTTAATTTTTTTTTCTTTCACATTAATAAATTTTTTTTTTTTTTTTTTTAGAATCAACTAAGTGGTTTTTTGCTGCGCAAATTCAAGAACAGTAATGGTTGGCAAAAGCTCTGGGTTGTCTTCACCAATTTCTGCCTCTTCTTTTACAAGTCTCATCAGGATGACTATCCATTGGCCNGCCTCCTGGCCCTTCTCGCCCTTGTCTCTGCACAAGACAGTAATTACCGATTTACTCTACTGTTACTTTTGGTTTCAATCTTGCGTTAAATACGGTGTCCCGTGATTTTTTTTTTTTTTTTTTTTTCTTTTAAAAATTTTTTTTTTTTTTTTTTTTTAGAATCAACTAAGTGGTTTTTTGCTGCGCAAATTCAAGAACAGTAATGGTTGGCAAAAGCTCTGGGGTTGTCTTCACCAATTTCTGCCTCTTCTTTTACAAGTCTCATCAGGATGACTATCCATTGGCCAGTCTACCACTGCTGGGTTATACAGTATCCCAACCTTTGGAAAAAGATGGCATTAACAAAGATTTTGTTTTTAAATTACAGTTCAAGAATCACGTGTATTTTTTCAGAGCGGAAAGCGATTATACTTTTGGAAGATGGATGGAAGTGATTAAAAGTGCAACGCAACAGAGCCATGTAACTACTAGTTATACTCTCAATGAAGACTATTAGTACATGCAAATATTAATTGACCAAAATTTTTTGTGTAAAAATAGTATTTACAGTTCTACCTGAATCTCTGTATCTAATGATTGTATTTAAAAAAAAATGTTGAATTTATTAAAGCTTTGAAATTTTTAACTAAGAGTGTGACTCTTAGAGAGATGATTTAATCTACAGTAGTTAATCAAAAAAAAGAAAAAAATTTTTAGCAATTTTTTGTACAATTAAAATTATTTTGAGTATTTTTGAAACAAAAAAAAAATTCTCATGACCTTACGAATTGATGTTTTGTAAAAATGCGGCAAACCGCCTTTGTTAGCCTTATAAATTTTAAAACAACGTTTTTTCACTTTATTATAATTATTTTTAACTATACTTATAGCCTTGCTCACGTATAATTTTGTTATTTGTCAAGAAAAAAAAAGTGACGTATAAGTTCTTCGTTATTTTCCTGCGAGCTTTTGAAGTATAATTGCGTCTTCTATTTTTTGGTTTATTATTAAAATTTATGTTTAATGGTTTGAAAACAACTGTTTTTTACATAAAAGCCGACTTTTTAAAAATTTATCATAATGTACAATGCTGTTTGAATGAATGACTGTCTTTTTATAATATTTAAAAATATGTCTTTAATTAATGGCGTGCGTATGAATTTATGCAGATGTAAAAGAATGTTTTGCTAAGTGGAACCTAAGAATTTGTTTGTACGTATTTAAAATAAATATAATTGTTTGTTTTTTTCATCTATGAATATAACATTTTTTTTATTTGATGATTGTTAGTATCTTTGTTTAGTTAAATTCAATTTTTTAAAATAATTACCCTATAATTAAGTTCTGCGCTAACGTTGTTCGATTGAATTTATAAAACTCTGTACAGATTGTTTTCTTCGTGTACGGGGAACGTTTCAGTTCTGTATAAAAATATCCAGTGCTAAGTCAACCTTGTACAAAGAAGTGCTATTGCTTTAATGATGAGAACAGAAAATAAAGTAACTTGAAGATTTTATCAAATCGTGAAATATTTTTTTGTGGAACTACATGAGGAAAAAAGATTCTATACCTCTTTTTACATGTTCATCCTCTCGGTTCTGAAGCAATCGGTAATCAAGACTGCAGACAATTAAGGTGTAGTCAAGAATAATAATTTATGTAATTATAAAAATAAATAATAATTAAGTTTAAGAAGAGTACAAGTTATTTAAAAAGTATCAAAAACAAATTGAATGATTATACATAAGTAGACGATTTTTTTCAAATTGTGTATCAACCAAAAATAATTGTAATTGAATAAAAATCTGATGTTACAGTTTTTTTCATTCATGTATACGCATAATATATGTATCGTATTTATTACACAGAGTAATACTTAGCGATTTTGCTAGACATGATATTGTAAAAAAAGTAAAATTGCAATAAAAGACTCTACAAGCTAACTAGTGGTGTATTAATCATCATATTCATGTATAAACTAAAGGTTCAAGAAACTAAAATTATTGAGCATCAACAAGTTATTTCGATGACTTGGTTGTGATTTTTTTTCCACCACAAAGTTTAATAGTCAATGTAATTGATATCTAGAATAATTACGTTTGTTCACTATTTTAATCTGTGATTTCTATGCAAATTAACAAACAATTATTTTTGATGCGGCTAAGTCATGATACGTTTACACTGTAAAAATTTCTGTTTTTTATTTTTTTTTCGCGAAAGATAATCGAATTCCTCAAAATTGTTTAACTTTTTTTTCTTAATTCATAATAAAGATGAAAAAATAAATCAAAATCAAAACAATAGCTCTTTATTTACGTGTTCGGTTTGATAGGTATATCCACCATCCATAACTTCAAGACTTGCAGTCTGTTTGAAAAAAAGTCAACAAAGGAGAGAAGAGAGATTTAGTACTAGATATGAAATTTTCCAATCAAGATTATTACATTCTTGAGTAATTATACGCCTCATTATGGTTCCGTTTAAATACTCTTCTTCACGACCATAAATATCAACGTGAGAACACTCGTCTATTTAACTAAAAAAAAAAAAAGGTATGATGGGCCTATCTCTAACTCAGTCCACGCCTCGCGTTTTTTGCAATAATGTGATCCTTGCTTGGTTGGTGGGATAATTTATTCCTATGGAAGACAAAAAATTGATCATTCCAATGTTCTGCAAAGTAATTGTTGTCAGACGACCTTGAATAGTTTCCTTTCGCGTTTCTTGGCTTGTTACAAGTTGGATTTTTCGAGAGTAATTTAAAAACTCGCTTGTTGCAAATGATTTTAAAAACTCGTATTATCTTTTTATGATTGTTAACTTTTTTATTTTTAAGTGACTGTGACATTTCTCAAAACTTATTTGGAAGGATCTACCAACGTTTGCCACTCACTTGTATTCATCAGTATGCACACCATTCACAAGTTGAATTTTTCTCAAAAATAAAAACAAACTCCGAGAATTACCGTACAATACGAAAAAGCAGGTGAAAGTCTTGTTAAAAAAAAAAGAAAAAAAAACAATACATGGTTGTCTTTGTAAAAAAATTACTGTAAGCTGATACTGATGAAAACACGTTCTTGGGCAATTGATCGACCTTTGGGGAGTCCCCACGGAAAGACCAGAAACCACGTCATGTCGCTCTTTGCGTGTGCACGTGTGTTTTTTGCCGACTCTACAATATTTACAGAGGAGCTGTAGATATGGAGAGCATATGTGATTGTGTCATTAAAAACCTTTTTTTACGTTACTATTTGGCATGTGACATAAATGTTTCATTAATTAAAACAATAAGATTTCATACCAAATATTAACATGGACACATAATAATAATAATTACTTTCAATAATACTTATTTTTCGATAGTCGTGTTGACCTTAGATAAAATATTTATCAATTATTGTATGAATATGGTGCAGTTATCAATAAATGATCATATATTCAAAAAATAAACAACAGTTAAACTAACAATATATTTCTTTTTTTTTGTCTCTGATTCTCAATAAATGTGAAGGCTTTTGAATTATTATGTATTTTATTTTACGATCGATGACTTCTTTGAAATCATCACTCGATCGATGACAGAAATAAACATAAGTGACGTAATTCTGATTTGCATGAAAAAAGTGTGAAATGCTAATTTTTGCATGTTCCTTACATCTTTTATTCCTTTTCTGCAATAAAACTTAATTTTCTTGAAAATGAAAATTCACACGATCGGATATTTTTAAACATCCTTTGAATGCAATGTAATAAGCTCTACATCGAGATAAATCGATGTTAAAGAAAATTAATTACTATACTTACATTAGACATATACTTGATTTAATTACAACTCACTTCCTAGTTTTTATATGAATTCCGAGAATATTTTGGCTCATAACCAAAAGAAACACAGTCTTTTTGTTGTATGGATTAAAAAATTACGCACGATGTCGAATAATAATTCCTCCATAAGTCATATAAATTGTACGTCTTTTTGACAAAAATAATACTTATCTATCTGCTCTACACTTCTACTTATCTACTTATGTTATACTTTACATGAGAACTTTTTATCGGTGCCAACTATTTTGTGATATGGAAAAAGTCATACTGTGATAGGAGAAAAAACGATGTTTTTCTTAATTTTAGCCGATAAATGATGACCCAGTAAAAATTCTCCGAGATAATTTTCTTAAAACTTAGGTAGGAAACAGTTTATATACTTTTCAACGAAAGTCGTCAATTTTTCACTACAATCACACAATGAAGCTAAAAAATTTTTTACACGTCCCCTCACAAATATTATCAAAGAGTCGCATCATTCTCGTAAATACAAACACTTGTTTGGCTTCCATTGATTTTGTTTTAATTTACGTTTAACTCGTAACAGTGCTTGTACATGATATGAATTGACCTTTACAAATATTGTTCAGATTAACATTACATAATTTACGCAACTGTTCATTACAACAGGGAACTAGCTGTCATTAAAAAAAAAAACATTTATCGAACGCGTCCAAGACCTACTTGGCGGTTCGCAGTATAGTTGGCGGGGATTTCAATCATCACAGCTCTATCGCGTCACAAATACGCGAGGCATCGAAATTTTTGGAAATCATTACCACGCTGCCGGACGTGCACCGGGAGTCGTATTTTTATATCAATACACCGACATTATCGAACGAGACAGCTGTCCTGTGCCGTCCTTGGGGAATTTCGTAGTTCCACGAAACACGCGTACACGCACACGTCTTTGAAGAGAGAGAGAGAGAGAGAGAGAAGAGATGAGTTTTTACTCCTTAACGTGATATCCCGATATACCAGGGTACGGAGCACATAGTTGCCGGGGGAGTGGGAGATGCTAGTATAAGAGTCACCGTAGTGCCAATCGTGAGCATCACAACTCGTCCAGACATGACACAGTTTCGGAAAGTCGTCGGCCTCCTGGCCCTTCTCGCCCTTGTCTCTGCACAAGACAGTAATTACCGATTTACTCTACTGTTACTTTTGGTTTCAATCTTGCGTTAAATACGGTGTCCCGTGATTTTTTTTTTTTTTTTCCCAAACAGTCAAATTAGTATTTTCATTAAAATTTTTAATATATGACATAAATAAAATATAAATTTGATATTCTCGTTAGATCCGCGCTTCAGGCGCTTCGCTTACGCTCCAAGCGGCCCAGCCGTAGCTAGCAGCTCCTCAAGTTCCTCATCGAGCTCGTCGTCCAGTGCCTTAGGAGGTTCTGGAACCCATACCAAGACCAATACTCATTCCACTGGTGGTAAGTGAATGATTGAAAGACGTTTCCACTTCACTTTTTCAACGCTATAATTTTTAAAAAGTCGTAAAAATGTCATGAATAAGTGTTAAAAAATGAATTTGTTAAAGGAAATATTCGATTTAAATGTAGGAAAGTGGTCTTTTTATTTAAAATTGGTATGCTATTTTTTTTTTTTTTTTTCAATACGTACGCATTACGTTTTTACAATTTTCTTTCAATTACGTTGTTGAAAAATCGACTAAAACGTAAGTTTGAAAAGTTCATGGGTAAAATACAATAATTTGTTCTGAATTAGGGGCTACGGCTGACGCTTCAGCTACGGCTCTTGGCGCTGGTGACAGTTTTGTCTTCGCCGACGGTGCTGGTGCTAATAATGGCTTTTACGGCGGTGGTGTTGGCGGATACAACGGAGGTGGTGCCAGCGGGTACCACGGAAATGGTGGAAGTGGCTATCATGGACAAGGTGGAAGTGGTTATCACGGACAAGGTGGATACGGTGGCAGTGGCGGCTACGGAGGAAATCGTGAGTACTGTTGTTAAAATCTAAAGTGATGTTTTTAGCTTATGGGGGTATTGATAGCAACCATTTACATTATTTATTACTTACTTCTGCACTTTGTCCTATTTTTCACCACATCTTTGATACCATCTTCGATAAGTCTTTATACTTAATAGTAATCTTTTTGCGCTTTAGATGGTGGCTTAGGAGGTGCAGTTGCCGGTGGAAGTGCAAACGCTGCGGCAAATGCTAATGCAGCGGCTAATGCCAACTCTGGAGCACTTGGCGGTGGTGGATATACCGGTGGACAGGGTGGCGGAATATACGGTGGAGGCCATAATGGTGGCTCAGGTGCTTTTGCAAACGGTGGGTCTGGTGGATACGGTGGTAGCCATGGTGGATCAGGTGGCTTCGGTCATGGAAATGTTGGAGGATATGGTTAGTAGCCTTTTTTCATCCTACACACTGCACACCGCTACAAATTTTTCCTGAGACACAAGGCACTTCCATTAACTAATCATATAATGCCCTTACCCGCGGAAAAAATTGGAATTATATAAGAATAGCCTTACAAAGGGAAACTCAACTTTTCTGCTTGTACTATAGGTGGCGGAAACGGTGGTTCTGGAGGTGGTCACTACGGTAGCTACCCGGTTGGAGGTGGTGCTCCAACTGGTCCAGTTCTGGTACCAGGTGGTGGCAGCAGCGGTGGTTCCGGATCAGCTGTTGCAAACGCAGCTGCTAATGCGAATGCAGCTGCAAATGGTGGAGGGCACAGTGGAGGGGCCCCGATTGGAGGTAGCCAAGGTGGAGTTGGTTTCGGAGGAGGTCAAGTAGGTGGGACTCAATTCGGAGGTAGCCAAGGTGGAGTTGGTTTCGGAGGAGGTCAAGGAGGTGGGGCTCAATTTGGAGGTAGCCAAGGTGGAGTTGGTTTCGGGGGAGGTCATGGAGGCTATGGCAGTGGTGGATACAGAGACCAACACTCGGGAGGCCATTATGGTAGTTACCCGGTTGAAGGTGGTGTCCCAACTGGTCCAGTTCTAGTACCAGGTGGTGGCAGCAGCGGTGGTTCTGGAGCAGCTACTGCTAATGCAGCTGCTAATGCAAATGCAGGTGCCAGCGGAGCCGGTCATGGTGGAGTAATTTCAGGTGGACCTGCGTACGGTGGTAGCGGTTGCACACAATGCGGCGGAGTCGGCGGTGCTCATCCAGGTAAAAATAAAATTAACATGATTTAAAGCCACAATACATGCAAAATTATAGTACTTTATGCCCTACTAATGCCGAAAAGTTTATCTTTACGCTTGGAAGGAAATCATACTAAGTATATCAGTAAATTACGCATCTAAGGATATATTAACTTAAATTAGAAAATTCACTGTACATTAGTGAGCAATAATTTGAATTTGAAACAAAAAGATGAAAAATTAACTTTTGACTGAAATAACATTTGAGCGAAAACAGAGCTTTATTTACTGAAATCTTTACTTATTCAAGCCTTGTTCTGTTCTGTTTGCTATGGGTGGCCTTGGGTCAAAAAACTGAGACGCCGATATGCCATACAAAAATTCAAGCCTTGACTGAAATAAGATAATATTGACATACCCACATGCATGCATATGACATTTTTTTCTTACAACATACTTTTTTAAATCGAGGAGCTAAAATAATAAACGAAAAAACTAAAAATCATAGTTATGAAATCTTGACCGTTTCGAGGATATCTCTAAAAGGAAAAGAAATAATTTTTTAAGTTTTTTGATCCTTATTTAATTAACATTACAGTTCATTTTGGTGATTCCTACGGAGGAGTGCCACCAAATTCTGGATTTGGCGGTGGTGTTGGTGGAGCTAATGCCAATGCCAATGCAGCAGCTTCTGCTAACGCAGCAGCCTCCGCCAATGCTGGAGCTGGATCTAGTGGATTTGGAGGTGTGTACCTTTGCGATTATCAATATATTTCTTAAAATATTAATGGAGTACACATTTATAGCCTTATCACTTAAAATTTTACCAGCTTCAATTGATCATCTTATTAATTTAGAGCGGAAAAAATGAAGTTGTAGCTAGGCATTAAAATGTGATATATACGTTTAAAATTGATGATAAGATTAAGAAAGACGGTAGCTAATGGATGGAGCATACCAGTAACTTACGGCAAAAAAACGAAATCTTTTTATTTTCTAACCATTTAATTGTTACAGGTGGTTTCGGCGGCCCATACGGGGCAGTGCCATACAACTCTGGATTTGGCGGAAGTGGAGCTAATGCCAACGCCAACGCAGCAGCTTCTGCCAATGCTGGAGCTGGAAGCGGCAAATTTGGTGGCCCTGTGTAAGTGTAGTTTTAAAAGCTTATATCATTTTGAAAATTCGTGTTCAAATGTTTATAAATTTAAAAATTTTTGCACGAAACAATTAATTTCAAAGTACAACAAAAACATATGATAATCGTAAGAAAAACACATCCTATAGTTAAGTATAAGATTCTCGTGTACAATCAACAAAAACGGAAAAATAATACACTAAGCGAGTTTCGTCTGAAGCATGATAATTGATCGTCAATTCAAGGACATGTGTGCTCTTTCATTTGCACCTTACTAGTTTCGCGTACGTTCTCATCGATGTCCGTAAATCCTATTTTATCACTCGGAAAATTTTATCACACATCATTTCAATGCTAAATTATAAAGTGCCTATGATGAGAAGTATTTGTTGTTTCCCGTAGGTAACGTAAAAAAAACTTATTTCAGATAAATTTTGTTACATCACAATTGTGATTTTCTTTCCTCCGAAACACTTTACATCATAGTTTCGTTTTTAATTTCGGGTATCAAAACAGAGTTCCCATCATATTCAGTACACGTTCGATACGCATTTCAAATAAATACTAAAAAATTGGTTTTGATGAGCAAAACAACTTCTGTCATTGCCTTGAATAGTCTCTGTACCCATCATATGGATTTATCGTATTTCCTCGTATTACGCACGTGGCAGTGTGGCACACATGATCATATTCATTTGTGCGTTTATAAATAGAAACGTGTTTTCATAACATGCATTACACTTGTCTACATTGGAAACTCGTTCTTTTTCGTTATTTTCAGGAAAGTCTGAAGAAACTGTAGATACCTTTATCATTTATATAAAATTAATAACCTAAGAATCCAAAATAACTATGAAAGTTACACCTTCTATCTATCAACGTTTCTTTGAATGAATCTAAGTTTTTTTTTATGGAAAACACACATTTTCTAAAAACCATTATAAGTTTTGAAAAAATCGATATTACCAGTCGTTTTAATCCTGAAAAAATGTATACAATTCAAGAAAAATGGCACTTGTTTTCTCAGACGAATGTCAAATTGATTAGTTATAAATACACGCGAAGTCTCATTTCCTCTCTTGCTCTGATCTTTGAGCAAGAAAATATCGAGTGATCCATCAATCATAATTTACCCTCTGCTTTCAGGATTTTCTCGCGTATCAATGCTGACGACGAGAGTGAGGTCAAGGAGAAAGGTACTGTGGACAAAGTCAAGGGTGTCTACAGCAGTAGCAGCTCCAAGGTTGACAAAGACGGCAAGGGAACGTACGAGGTCTCAGCTGGCAAAATACCTGCGTAAGTGCCATTCATGACTGACATCTCGGTTTTTTGTACGAGATCTACGGACCAAATACAAAATTGACGTAAAAATAGCTGTCCCCATGTAAAAGAGAAAGAGGAAGACGAGTGACACGGCAGCTTTGTTTTCTCTCCAATTACGTCTTAGCTTTCAATATGATAAAACAAGTTGTCATGAATTTGAATGTGTGTTTTTGTGTGGGTATAAATCATCATCAGTCATTATTACATGTGTAAAAGTGTAAAAATATAAAATGGAGGAACAATACTTCCTCTTGCACCTTGTATTGAAACTTACGCGAGAAGCGTAAAACGCATAATTGACAGAACATTAGATGGAGATTTTTTTTATTATTATGCGTTTGATGTGTATGCATTCAATAATATATCATTTAGATGATCGAGAGCGAGGTCATTGTTTTGCATCTGTTTTTTCGAGATATTGACATTTGTAAATCGAATCTCAAAAACTCATCGAGTACCTAAGTTTATAAGAGAATCTTTGTGTAATATTAATAAAAATCAAAGGCACTGAAAAGCATATACATTTTTTTTAAACAATTATTTTTACTCCCCTTTAATCTTATAATCCTATACTACCTGTCATTTCATAATAGTAGATAGTATACTTTCTACGATAAGGAAATTTTAGAAGACATTTGTATTAATTTCGATAATATTTTGCATATTTGATGTGGTTTGATAAAATAACTGCTACCGAGTGATCTGTATAAAAGTATGGAAAAGTATAACAATGCCAGTAAAAATTAAGATATTACGTTGAACACAATAAACACTTTTTTTACGGATTGAGAATTATAAAAATAATTTTTTTTAGATGTAAGGACTGAGCACTACCGTTTAATAAGAAATATTTATAATATATTTTTAAAAATTTGCTTGAAAATAACATAGTAGGACTTTTCCATAGCAATAGATTCAGCCAATTGATTAATACTTTTCACACAGTAATAAAAATTATAGCGAGTACAAAATTTTATTACTTAAAATGGTTATTGCAAGCTTGATTCCGGGGCACTTAAATTTTTTAATTCCTAAGGATGACATGTTAATTATTTTTACCGGTTTTGCTGTAGCAAGACAATAATCGATAAAAAAAAAATTAATAATACCTTGTGTGATTTTACGTTTTCGTAACTTGTAATAAAAAAATTTTTTTTAATGAAATAGCCGTCAACTTACATTTGGCATATTAGTTGAAGAAGAAAAAAAAAGAAAAAATACAAGTCAGAAGTCAATCGCATGAGATATTTTTTATTTTTTTTATTTGGAGTTATCATTCAAGTACTTGCATAATGCAATCAATGTCACGCGTTTTTTTGCTAATTTGGAGGATAAAAGTGATAATAGGAAAGTCCAGATAAAAAAATGCATTGAAAATCCGTAAACAAAGTGTTGAAATCACCCAATGTCAGCATATTTTTTTAATAAAATACATAACACGTGTTTTCAAAATATCCCCAAGAACAGCACCAACCATCAGAAAATGTGATTGACATTCATCTCACGCATGAATAATAATAATCACAAGACCTATAAAAAAATTAACCAGATGCTGTGATTTACCTATATACTCGATTCGCGTCTACCAATCAAATTATGTCCCATGTCAGTCGCATCGGTTCATTTCTATCGTGATTAAAAATCATCATCATCACTCGATCCCGTGAACGATAACAATTGAAAGGAGTAGGCGAGAGAAGGTCATGTATACACGTGAATGTATTATATTATGTTCAAGAAAGATAGACACGTTGCCGAGGTTACACATTTATTTTCGCATCAGACGGTCATGAATAATTTATGAGAACCTATGAGCTAATACCGACAGCTATCCCAACAACAACCAATTAACAAGGCAGTGGAGGAGAATGGAGCGAATATCTGAGAAACTGTAAATGTATAAGTGTACATTGACCTTTGGGCGGCTGAGCGTAGCTAATGTCTTTTAGCATCATTATTATTATTACTAGGTTAGTCTAAAAATCTGCATCCGTTGGCATTATTAAATGATATACGATTGCAGAGTTGATAAGTAATATCAAGTTGTATCCATTTTTGTAAATAAAGTTTAAGTACACAAGAAGAATAAGGTCAGAATGTCTTAGAATTCAAATGATTTTAATGTAGTCTCCTTACGATTGAATTATTTAATGCGTCAAATGTTTCCGAAATAGCTGAAATTTAGAGGTAAAGAAATGGCCAACAACAATGTCATGATCGAAAAAAAGTACGTGTAGCTAATAAACGTAAATATGTAAGAAGGAAAAAAATGTATATTGATTGGAGTTAGGGGTTCAGGCTAATAATTATTATTCAGATTGTTAATATAAGCTTGTCTGAAATTTGTATGAAATAACTTATTTTTTATTACGATATTAGTAAGCAATATGAAAATGGCTTCAATGAATAACATTTAATATTCTAGTGTTGTAGACATTCATATCATTTAATATCAGAAACACTTGGAAATGAATAATTATTATAAAACGTAGAATACTTGAATACTTCTACAAGCTTGCGGTAAATAATATTATATTCTAAATTCATGTTATTAGAATCTCAGTAAAAATGATAAAAAATATTTTCTTTAATCTTTGCGTATTTGTTAACAACAATTCAAGTTTATGAACGAATAGATGGAACGTTTTCGTGGACTATCCTTGCCGTTTTCTATCAATAAAATACTTAAAAAATGTTGATGATTTTTTATTTGCGGCCCTTTAATTACGTTTAAAGTACTCCATATTATTATTACTGCAATAAGTTTTTAAAAACCTTTTAGGATGTGCCATACATCGTTTTCACTTCTTCCTAATCTGATATTTAATATTCATCTGATGTGAGAAAAAAATCAACATATAGCTCTTGACATTTATTTATGTATACAAAATAACTTACAATAACTTAATACTGATTTAAAAGTCCTCGCTTATGTAGATATGCACATTTATAAATTCACTGTACACCGTATGCAATCGTCTGTAGTTTGTTTTTTTAACTGTAAGTTCAGTCTTTGAAGACAACCTTCGAGCTTTCATTGGTTTGACTACTTCTTCTAGAAGAGGAGTCTGCTTCAACGACAACCCCATCAGCAATATCATCACCACCACTTCTGTACTGCCAGGGATTTATTGGTTGATGCCCATATTGATTATATACGTTGGGTGGACGCTCGTAAGACCCTTGATATTGAGGCCTTTGGTACTGAAATCCTGATGGGTAACGCGGACCGCGATCAGAGTTTGCTGATGAAACAGACGAGCTACCACCTTAAAGAAATGTGTCATTTGTAATCGACATTCTATATGAAAATATTAAAAAAGTTATTAAAAATATCCTTACCATGGCTAGAAGCAGCAGCAGCGGATGCAGCAGCGCTAACTATCGGCACTCCATTAACAAAGCTGGTACCAGCAGCGGCTGCCGCAGCAGCAGCACTGGCCTCGCCATTTGGTCCTAACGAATTGCTGTTTGCAATAGCATTGGAGATCGAACTCCCCGTGTTACCGAAATTTTGGGAATTTGCGTTGGCGTTGGAGTTGGACTGCCATTGCCCTCCAACGGGGGATGGAGAATACGGTGGTCGTGGATCGTATACTTGCTGGTGTGGTCCATCGTACACAGGAGTAAATCTAAGAAATTTTAAGAAAACAAAAGTATGTACGTTATATATTTATTAAATGATATCAACCACACAGATAAATTGCATCTGATATGTTACACTAGGAAAAACATTAAATTATTCGAGAAGAATTTCCTCTTCATTACTTTGCTCACATACAAAACAACCACAACAGCCTTTAATTACAAGGAAATGGATATAAGGAAAAATAGAGACCAGAAATCACATGGTTTAAAATTAGAAAATGATAAAGAATGTATAGGTATAGTTTTAAAAATTACGACATTCAAAAACTGCTTGATCGTCAATAAATTAAAATCTTATGATTTATGCAAACCTACCCTTGAGGAGGATACCGTCCACCGTAACCTTGGTAACCTTGGTAATCATGAATTGGTGGCTCATAAAATTCAGAATATCCTGAGCCACCATTATTTCCGCCTGTTGCTAAAGCTTCGCTATTTGCATTGGCTTGAGAATTGCCGTAGCCGTCAGACCAGGCATTGCTGTCAGCCTTTGCTTTTGCACTCACTTGGTCCGGAAAGTAGAAGCCACTGCTGCCACGAACTAAAGTTTTTTGCATTTAGATATAAACATGGGACATTGTGCAAAGGATTTTTATTTCGCTTTTGCCCACATACGATCATTTTGCTTGGTTTAAAACCATAACGTGATAATAGAAAAAATAGCAGAGATGACGTTATTATAGTTATAAAAATATAAATTAAAAATTTTTACTAAAACTTTACTTAAAAAAAATGTAAAAGGGGATAAGAATACTGTTTGAATGAAGTATTTTCTCCACATTGCACAATCAATCATGTGTTACTTAATGTGAATAAATTCAGATAAATTGATATTGCGTACCGTAGATAATGCATTATTGCGACAAAAAATTTTTTTTTAATATTAGGCTTAAGCATGTATTATTTTTCCTTATNAATTGTAAATTAAGCATTAGTTATCAACTTAATTACATATTATAACTATATGAATATTTTTTTCAATATAAATTACTATCAAGGTTTTTAATCGGCTTAGCAAATTTTCATTAAGGCATCGAGTTAATTGTAAATTAAGCATTAGTTATCAACTTAATTACATATTATAACTATATGAATATTTTTTTCAATATAAATTACTATCAAGGTTTTTAATCGGCTTAGCAAATTTTCATTAAGGCATCGAGTTAATTGTAAATTAAGCATTAGTTATCAACTTAATTACATATTATAACTATATGAATATTTTTTTCAATATAAATTACTATCAAGGTTTTTAATCGGCTTAGCAAATTTTCATTAAGGCATCGAGTTAATTGTAAATTAAGCATTAGTTATCAACTTAATTACATATTATAACTATATGAATATTTTTTTCAATATAAATTACTATCAAGGTTTTTAATCGGCTTAGCAAATTTTCATTAAGGCATCGAGTTAATTGTAAATTAAGCATTAGTTATCAACTTAATTACATATTATAACTATATGAATATTTTTTTCAATATAAATTACTATCAAGGTTTTTAATCGGCTTAGCAAATTTTCATTAAGGCATCGAGTTAATTGTAAATTAAGCATTAGTTATCAACTTAATTACATATTATAACTATATGAATATTTTTTTCAATATAAATTACTATCAAGGTTTTTAATCGGCTTAGCAAATTTTCATTAAGGCATCGAGTTAATTGTAAATTAAGCATTAGTTATCAACTTAATTACATATTATAACTATATGAATATTTTTTTCAATATAAATTACTATCAAGGTTTTTAATCGGCTTAGCAAATTTTCATTAAGGCATCGAGTTAATTGTAAATTAAGCATTAGTTATCAACTTAATTACATATTATAACTATATGAATATTTTTTTCAATATAAATTACTATCAAGGTTTTTAATCGGCTTAGCAAATTTTCATTAAGGCATCGAGTTAATTGTAAATTAAGCATTAGTTATCAACTTAATTACATATTATAACTATATGAATATTTTTTTCAATATAAATTACTATCAAGGTTTTTAATCGGCTTAGCAAATTTTCATTAAGGCATCGAGTTAATTGTAAATTAAGCATTAGTTATCAACTTAATTACATATTATAACTATATGAATATTTTTTTCAATATAAATTACTATCAAGGTTTTTAATCGGCTTAGCAAATTTTCATTAAGGCATCGAGTTAATTGTAAATTAAGCATTAGTTATCAACTTAATTACATATTATAACTATATGAATATTTTTTTCAATATAAATTACTATCAAGGTTTTTAATCGGCTTAGCAAATTTTCATTAAGGCATCGAGTTAATTGTAAATTAAGCATTAGTTATCAACTTAATTACATATTATAACTATATGAATATTTTTTTCAATATAAATTACTATCAAGGTTTTTAATCGGCTTAGCAAATTTTCATTAAGGCATCGAGTTAATTGTAAATTAAGCATTAGTTATCAACTTAATTACATATTATAACTATATGAATATTTTTTTCAATATAAATTACTATCAAGGTTTTTAATCGGCTTAGCAAATTTTCATTAAGGCATCGAGTTAATTGTAAATTAAGCATTAGTTATCAACTTAATTACATATTATAACTATATGAATATTTTTTTCAATATAAATTACTATCAAGGTTTTTAATCGGCTTAGCAAATTTTCATTAAGGCATCGAGTTAATTGTAAATTAAGCATTAGTTATCAACTTAATTACATATTATAACTATATGAATATTTTTTTCAATATAAATTACTATCAAGGTTTTTAATCGGCTTAGCAAATTTTCATTAAGGCATCGAGTTAATTGTAAATTAAGCATTAGTTATCAACTTAATTACATATTATAACTATATGAATATTTTTTTCAATATAAATTACTATCAAGGTTTTTAATCGGCTTAGCAAATTTTCATTAAGGCATCGAGTTAATAGTACTGAAATAAGTTACTTCCACTCATATCAATTCTATTATTCCTTTATTCTCTCAAAAAAAAAAAATTGTTTTCACTCAAATAGACTCTTAAAAAATCCAGCAAAAACTTACTTGTGCTAAAGCTGAGCAGACAGCATAAGATCACTGCAAACTCCATTGGTCCAGCCATCGATAAAAAGAGCAACAAAGAAATGCTCTAGTCCATAAACTTTTTTTCTCCCCTTTCAATGAATTGCAAAAAATAGTTGAAAAATATAGGCGATCGTCAATGACAGAGTACAACGATCTGTCGGCGCGTTGATGAGTTTACGCGCTACTGATCGCACATCGACAGGCTTCCCTACCTTTATAGCGACTTTCTTGATACTACCACACCACGCGCTGCCAATAAGTAGCCCGAAAAATTTTTTCGTATGTAAGAGGACAAGGAGGAGGAGGAGGAGAAGTCAGTGGTAAGTGTACATACGTATGGAGATTTTTGAGCAAGGCCAAGAGTCAGCGTGTGCTTTTCGAGGAGCTGTTATGTGACGCAAGCAATCTCTCAACCAATCGACTGCGCGTCTCGAGCGTGCGTACTCTTTGGCTCAGCTCGGAAAAAATCTCTGCTCGATCGCCGCACCCGTTATTGATGATTTTTCAGATTAATTATTTATCATGGGTATCGTTTGCGATTATTCTTGGAACAGGACCGTAATGTCTCGTATTTTTTTTTTGGCAGGATGTATACATCATCTTAGTTTTATAGACATACATAGTTTTTTACTATTCATGGCCTTACCTCTTTTCATCATTCATGATTTTGTTCTGAATTTTACACGTCAAATTTACAGTATAGACATTGTGTACTATAATTGTTGATATATTGTACGTCTTAAATTATTTGGTTTAAAACATCAAGTAGACGAAATAGTTATGGCTCATTAAAATTTATTAGTTGGTAAGGTTGATGTACATTTTGTTGTTTCATTGACATTATTGTGTTAGTAAAAAGTAAATCATATTTTCAATTATATGAATCCACCTAAAAAGAATTTGTATATTACAACTATTTTATTGTAGACGATCAATGCAAAATTGTTTTTAATAATCTCTTACCACCATAGTTAGCATTGAAACTTCCTTGTTCGGATGGAATTGGCCCATATGGACCTTGACCCATTTGTCCTTGGAATCTTCCTGACTCGTAGTTTCCTCTGCCATAATTACCCCGACCACGATTGATGTTTATTCCACCCGAAGGTAAGCCTACATGAGTCATTGACCATCATTTCTATATGATTATCGAAAAATTTGACGTTCACTATTTCCAACTTACCAAATTGTGCTTGACTCACGTGGAATACAGCTATGATAACTACCAGTAAAACAGCAAGGAACTTCATTCTGTTTCTTTCAAACCGCGTTTTGACGTCCGACCAAGGAAGTTGAGTATTCCGACTGTGGAAGTTCAAATGACAATGTTCATGCAGCGACCCGAACTTTTATTGGATTTTTTAAATTAATCAACTAATAACCTTGTCATTATTTTAACGACTTAGGTATGCACTATAATTATTTGTATTCTTGGTAATTCACAAGGCCACACTGTATAGGAGGCAGTTGAAATAATGATTCTAATCATATAAAATTAGTCTAATCAACGAAATTTCTGCATGGGTAAGCTATATAGTAGATAAAAAATTTACTCTCGAGATGCAATGATGAAAATATTTCCGTAACTTTACAATCAAACGTATTAGTTTAAAGAAAATATCCACAATATATCCATGGGTTGTATCTTACTTCAATCTACGTTAACATTAACTCTAATGTATTATCTATATTATATTAATAGATATACTACATGTATACATTTTTCGCGCCTCAGCTACTTGAGTTATCATATGAAGTTTTTGTATTTAGAAAAATCTTTCTTATACTATCAAAAGTTATTTTCTTTATTCTGAGATAAAAGTTCTAATTCTTGGATGAAAGTTCCAAAAAATTATTATTCTACGTACAACAGATAATAAAAACTAAAATGCCAGCAGTGCATTTTTTAAATTTTACTTTTAATGGTATACAGAGATAGTTCAGAGCTTGTTTTGTTTTCACCACTTTATAACTGAAAATTAATCTAAGAAGCTCCCCAAAGAGTTATAAAAATTATTATCAATTCGTACAAACCAGCACTTGACTTTAAAAAAATAATTACCCAAGAAATGGTTAAGCAGGATCCATGACTAAGTATAAATCAAATAACATTTGGTGATTTTATACTTTGCAAAAACATTTTGCTTATTAAAAAATAATAATCTAAGTAACATCTTCAATAAAATGTAAGAAAATATTAAAGTTGTCTTATATTGTCTACAACAATATTAAGTCAACAAAATATCAGTGAGATATATACCAGTGTTGACAAGATATTTTTTAATATCTTGTAAATATTCTTTTTTTCTTAAAACTATGGAGTATACAAAAATAGTGATACTATGATGATAATGTACTACTTAAAAACTAATTAATTAAATAATTTTTCATAAAAACGTAACAAAAAAATTCATGAAAAAAGATAATAGAATATTTTACGTGCTCCAAAAGATGATTCGCCCTTCTGTTTTCTAAACAATGGGTTTAAAATATTTATAATTGTCAAAAGTACTCTATCATAATGGATTTTGTTAAAAGTGGGATTGTGCTTTAATAGAAAAGCTTAATTCCATTTTTTGGGGTCCGTACTTAAAATATCATGAATAGTGTACATCAGAAATTAACCCCTTCCTCTTTTTCAAAAGCAAGTAATGTATGTAAGCAAGCAGTGTGAGTAATGTATATATTAGTGAAAAATAATTAAATATTAACATTTTTTATTGTGTTAAAGTGACAATTTTTGAAACAAACTATATTACATTAGTTATAATGAGTATTAATATAAATATTAAATCTGAAATAATGAAAGTCATTCAACTTCCCAACCTTCCATATCTCTGATAACGGGTGTAGGAGAATCTGGCATTTAGTTATTCAAGAATCTCTGTAGGATAAACTAACTGTTTTAAATAAAATAAAAGAATATTTTTTCATACTTAAACTTGATTCCTCGCTCTCCCACCCCCAGCTGAAATTTCGTGTTATTTAATCAAACCCCTTTCCTAAAACTGTCCACAGTATTTGGGTACAATCTTATCGACTGCCAAGTCCAGTGAGCGTATATTTTATATACTGTCCATCACAAATTGAATTTTCATGATTTTAAAAGCATCTTTAAAAGTTAAGTAAATTATTATATGATGGTTTTGTACATTGTGGACGTTTTAGTAAGTAATGTAAGTAGTAAAGGCTTAAGTAATGTCATAAGCACTTTTCATCATCTACGCTATTAACACTAGTTTTATGATCATTACTAAATTTCCATATTTTATTATTTAGTATGCACATACTACACTACTTAATTAATTTTTTCGTTGAGGTAAATAACCCAATATATGTGGATCAAAATCTGTAACTATGCTAAATTATTTATTCCTTTATATTTTACGATGTAAACTAAATTATTTTCAGTTTATCGGCATCCGCAAAATCTTGTGCGGTTAAAACGAAGATATTGTTTTTCTATTATGTTACTTTATTTTATTTAAAATAATTGTTTTTGTGTTGATATCACTTGCTTGTATTATTGCGGATGGCCATAAAATCAATAACTGCGAACCCAATGACTATATGCGTATGTTCCATAAGGCTTTGCGTGTTAAAGTTCAGACCTATCTACTGCGAACGGCTATGTACTTTTGTAGGTCAGATTCGTTAAAAATCATTTTGTTAACAGTTATACATTTCATGATGTAAAATATGATTTTGGATTGAATGTTATTAATGTCCAAACGTGTTACAATGTCTGCGCATATGAGTTTTCTGTTTTTCTTATTTTGTATTACTGACATGTACGCAGTAATTGGTGCCTGCGCAGTAATTGGATCATTTACCCCTATACTTTACCTATACAATTTTTCTATTGACATTAACCATGTATAAAGTTTTGTGTAAATAAATAAATTATATTGAAAAATTTTTTTGTATAAATACATACACGTTACACTACGTGACGTACAATTTAATTTCATATTAACTTAAAATAAATACAGTTGTTCGTTTAGTCATTTTTTAAAAACGATAAACAAATGAAATTAAACACCATTCATTATTCAATATCGTTTTATTTTTATTTATTAATAATTTAATGCCTTTAATTTTATTACACCCTACCAACCAAACCATGTGACCAGTCTCAACCAATCACACAATAAATAAAAAAACTTTAGTCAAGCGATAATCAATCTTTTAAAATAGGAAAGTAAAGTGATGTTTTAGTTACTTCATGATAAAAAATAATACATAAGTTCTGAACGTCTCACTTGGGTACCGGTATTCAAGAATTTTATTCATGCAGTTGGCAAAGAAAAGTTTTTTGTATTATAATCATTGTAAGAGAAAAAAACAAATAAGGTTTTAATTAGATAACGTATTACATAAGGAAGTTTTGTGGTTATAATAATTACATGAGAAGTAGTTTTAAATAAGGAGTAATTTAATGAGAGAAAATATGCATTTTTTGTCAATTATAATTTCAATATTCCAACAATAAAAATACATAAAGACAGGAGTAAGTTGCTGAAGTAGCCTTCCGAAAATTCGTGCTACGGCGTTTATCTTCCAAAGCCGATGCCTAGACCAAAAAAAATTATAGTTAACACATGAAATACTCTCACTTGATAAAACTACAATATACTTAACCTTTTAATCGGTTAACAAAATGTAAATTTTTTTTACCTCCACGACCTATCTGTCCATATCCTCCCATTCCTCCGTACCCATTCATGTCTGGGCCACCGTCGTAGCCTCCTCGTCCACCACCATATCCTCTATTTCCACCGTATCCTCCTCCCATTCCGTTACCTCTTCCCATGATTCTTCCTAAAATTTTTAAAAATCAAATAAAGTTCCAATGCAAGAAAATGCTTTTTCAACAACAGAATTGTGTATTTACTAATTGTTGACTCTTACAAAAAGTACGTGAGAAAGAAAAATTATATAAAAATTTTTAAGACCAAAACTCACCAAACTGTGCCTGACAAACGCTGAACAAAGCTACAAAAGAGATAAGTAAAATAATGTGCAGTTTCATTTTTAAGCAATTATTTATTTATTTTTTTTTTTTAAAGAACAAAACTTTGCACTGCAGTAAAAGATCAACTTAGCTCCCTCCTCTGCTTGTCGGTTCTTTTATACGCAAGCTACAGGTAACTAAAAAACTTGTTTGTACACTTCATTCGATTGAAATTAAAGTTTTCTAGGTACATACTTATCATGAACAACATGAGTAATCATTGTTGCGATCAATAGTTCTAAGAAATAGTAAAGTAGGTAATTAGATTTAATTCATCGCAGAAACGAAATAAAATACTCTTGCTCTTTTTAAAATCATTTATTGCATTATTGAAGTGTATCTGATCAAGTAAACTTTAATTTTATTACTTTCTGAAAAACGTCTACACGTTATTTTACATGAATCTTAGCTAATTCGTAACATTGCAAAGACATCTTATACTTTTTTAATTATATAAGATGAGAGATACATATTAATTATCCATAGTAAGTAGAGATAAAATAGAAAGAGGAATATTAAGGATTACAATAGATATTTTCTTTGATGTTAAAACTGAAGTTGAAAGCGAGGTCTACCATACAATTGTTCTCTTTCGAGAAGTCTTTCTTCTTGGTTGAAAATTCTTCTCTCGTCATCAAACATTCTTCTTCGCTCTTGGTTCCTTCTATTCATGTTATCGTATTGATTTCCATATTGATTGCCATAATAATTATTCTGATACGGATTGTATGGTGGATTAGGTCTATAACCAAACCAATCGGTAATTCCTAAAATTAAATTCAGTCATTTGAAATTAAAATTGTTTAGAGAATTGAATTGAAGTACATGAAAACACAATTTTTCCAAAAGACACGATACACTTTTAATGGAAAATGTGAGTGGAATTCAAACATCAACAATTTTTTTTTTTTTTTTTTTTTTAACCTTTTTTCTGAAAACAATGTTAATGATGGAAAATCAATTTCACTCTGAAACTAAAATGCATGGTTTTTTGCTTTATTAGAGTGCACTGATGCCCAAGTAGGTGGAACGTAACTTACATGTAAAAGTACTTAAAATGAAAATTCGATGAATGAGTTTGCAATTTGTTTTTCTTCTTAACATAAACGTAAATGAAAAAATTTACCTTGGCAGTAGCAAACGCTTAGTAAGGCTACAGAAACCACTGTAAAAATTAGTATTTTCCCCATTTTTAAAGAAACTTTATTATTTACCATTGACTTTCCAAACAGTTAAATATCAAATATATTTTCGTGCCTGGAATTTTTGTATTTATACCTCGGACAAAAATTAACATGGTTAACACATAATTGAAAGCTGCATTAATTATAATAATTGCTATGTGCGGTGTGTGCATTTTTGTGATCCATTGACAACGTTGAATCGATGAAACATAGACATGCACATGAAATTAGTATTTGTTGTTTGATCAGTAATTGGCTGTAATTTCTTCGTAGAAACTGAATTTTTTTCCATCTATTGACTGATTTATGATTTAAGATGTAAACAATACTTATTATTGTAATTAATTTTGAAATAAATGTTGTAATGCAGATACTTCGACATGATTTTTATTATTATACAAAAATAATAAAATTAAAATGATTTTTCGATGATAAGTTTAGTTACAATTTTAGCTACTCTTACTACTTGAATTATGAAATAACTTATGTAATCAAGGTTGACAAAATTATGAGTAACTTTTAATATACACGACATTTCATTACTTGATTAACTTTTAGTGTAATACACGCATAATACATGTATGGATATCATGAAAAATTCATAACAAGTGTTTTATTTAATAGTTGATCTTTATTCTACTAGCCATAACTGGCCATGGAGCTCGTATCCTTAAAACTGGAACAGCTTGTGATTTTTCTTCTTCACAATCACAAGGATCTGGAATATTTTTAGGATTGGAAGAATCGTCAGATGCTCTTTTTGTCAAAAAAGGATTACCTGAATAAGGGATCTTAATCAATATTGGACGTGAAGGACCCATTGCACCAGTACCAAAAGAAGGAAGAGAGGAGATGCGTAAACCTAAAATTGGACCTAATAGAGGAGCAAGAAATGGATTTCCAGACCATCTTATAATAATGCGTTGAGGAGGCATATTTTTAGGATCAAGTTTGGGTTTGGGTGGTTTCAATTTTTGTGAATTTTTCGGTTGCGGCGAATTTTGTTGTTGGTGTGGATTCCCTGATTGGCTTGGGCCTCTTGGTTGTTGCGGATTTCCTGAATTAGGTTGACTCTCAGAATCGTATGGTGGTTGTGGAAAAAATGGGTTTAGTGGTATATGTAGAGGATTAAAGCCAGGAGATGAATTAAATGGAAAATCAGATGGTCGTTCTTGTGGATTAAAGGGAAATGGAAACGGTGGCTGCATTTCAGACGGGTTAAAAGGATTAAATTGAGGATTGAAAGGGTCTATGTTTTCGACATCACCTCTGTATCCACCAACACCTTTAAAAACATCATCAGGTTGTGGCTGAACAGTAGTGGTAGGATTCTTAGGTCTTTTTGGAGGCTTTTTTTTATTTGGCTTAGGCTTTGTTGGTTTTGGTTGCTCTGAATTGTCGTTATCACCTTCTGGCTGTTTTTCATTCGATCCAGGTTGATAAGCACCCTGCCATCCATTATCATCTGGGTCATTGGGATGATATTGACCATCATCTCCAGGTCCATTTGGATTTTCATTTTGATCATTTGGATGATACTGACCATCATCTCCAGATTCAATTGGATTTTCGTCTTCTTCGTTTGGATTTCCTCCTTGTCCATTAGAATTCTCTCCTTGATTATCAGGATTTTCATCTTGCTCATCTTCATCTGGAGAGTTACGATTCTCAACTTTAGGTGTAGTAGGTTTAGGTTTTTTAGCATTGGGTTTTTTAGACGATTTAGGAGTAGATGGAATACTTTCGTTGTCATCGCCATCAGATGGCTCTTCTTCTGTTGGTTCACCATCATAATCAGGCTCTTCTGGAGCTGATTCCGTTGTTGATGTTGTTGTTCTAGATGGCTTTCTTTTGTTTTGAGGCCTAGAGGTAAAACTATTTTTAGACTTTGATTTTGGTGTAGCTTTATTTCGTGATGGTTTTTTCGGAGGTTTTGGTGAAGGGATTGGCTCCTCTTCACCATTTTCTACATCGTCCTCAGAATTTTCTTCGTCTGGAGTATTCTCACTCTCTGAAGCTTCAGTAGTTGTTGGCTTACGTTTATTTGATGTCTTGGAAGGCTGTCTTTGTGGTTTTGGAGTTTTTTTTGATGGTCTTTGAATTTGTGGAGCAGGTGGATCCTCTAATGAAGTGTCACCATTATCAGTGTTCTCAGGATCTTCTTCCTCTTCAGGTTCTTCAGAATCTTCATTTTGTGGTGCTTCAGTAGTAGGCTTATTTTTAGTTGGTTTATTTTGCGGACGACGTTTTTGTGGTCTAGTAGGCGATGTTTTCTTATTACTTTTAGGAGGTTCTTCAGGATCGTTTGATGTTTCTGCATCATCAGTTCCATCAAGATTCTCGTCAGCAGATTCTTCTGGCTCTGATTCATCTGCTGGCGCCTCCGTAGTAGTAGTTTTACCTCTTTTCGGCGGTTTTTTCGAGCTTCGCGATTGATCAGCTGGTGGTGGTGGTTTTTTCTTATTTTTTGGGGAATCATCTACTTCTTCATTGGATGATTCAGTATCTTCTTTGTCATCAGTATCTTCATCTGTTAACTCTTCTGGTTCTTCTTCATCTGCAGATGCTTCAGTAGTTGTTGTTCTACTTTTTGATGGCCTATTTTTAGAATTCTTTCGTACGTTATTTGAGGGAGTTCTTTTATTAATTTTTGGTGGTTCTTCTTCTTCAGCATCATCTTCCAGTTCCGGCTCATCCTGTTTTAAAGATGGTTTACCAGTCGATTTGTTTTTGGGTTTTTGTTTTTGAGGTCTGCTTGGAGAATTTTTATTATTTTTTGGTTGTTCATCAGAGGATTTTGAATTTCCAGCTTCATCTGAAGTCTCTTCTGTAGCTTCTTCCGATTCTGCTTCATCATTTGCTGGAGTTGTAGATGTATTTTTGTTGAAAGGCTTAGTTTTTGTTTTCTTATTTTTTATATTATTTGGTTGCTGTTTTTTATTATTTTTAGGCGAAGAAGTTTGTTCATCGAGAGTATCAGAATCGTCATTTTGATCTGAATTGTCCTCATCTGGATCTTGGTCATCGATTGATGCCGATGTCGTGGTAGATCTATTTTTACCTGACAATTTGTTTTTTGGCCTCTGTTTCTGCGATTTATTTGGAGATATTTTATCATTTTTTGGTGAATCTTGGTTATCGGGTGTTTCAGAATTTTCATCATCATCTGTATTATCTTCTGGAGGATCCTCTAAGTCAGATCCATCATTCGCTGCAGTCGTTGTGGTGGTAGATTTGTTTTTCTTTGAAGACTTATTTTTTGGTTTTTGATTATTTGGTCTATTTGGTTGTTTTTTATTTTTTGGGGGAGAACTTTGTTCATCTGGAGATTCAGACTCATCATCTAGTTTCGAAGAATTTTCTGATTCTTCGTCATTTGAGGCTTCTGTGGTTGTAGACTTATTATTTTTTTCTAACTTATTATGAGGTTGTGGTTTTTTTGAATTCTTCGGTGTAGTTTGATTATCGTTATTTAATTCTTTACCTTCATTAGGCGAATCAGGATTGTCATCATTTTCTGCATTCTCTGTGTCATCATCACCATCATCGGGTTCATTATCTGATGCTGACGATTCTGTTGTCACACTTTTTTGAGATGATTTCTTTTTTGGAGATGATTTATTCGATTTGTTAGAAGGTGTTGTATTTTGATTGCTAGAACTTTCTGACTCTGAGTCTTCATCATTTGAAGCTTCCGTGGTCGTAGACTTATTATTATTTGTTGGTTTGTTCTTATTTTGCGATTTTTTTGAATTTTTCGGTGTGGTTTGATCATCGTTATTTGATTCCTCTTCCTCGTTGGCTGACTCAGCGTTATCACTATTTTCTGAATCATCTGTGTTACCATCACCACCATCAGACTCATTATCTAATGAGGACGATGTTGTAGTTGTACTTTTCTGAGATGATTTATTTTTCGGCCTGGATTTATTTGATTTGTTGGAAGGTGTTGTATTTTGATTGCTAGAATTTTCTGACTCTGAGTCTTCATCGTTTGAAGCTTCCGTGGTCGTAGACTTATTATTTTTTGTTGGTTTGTTCTTATTTTGCGATTTTTTTGAATTTTTCGGTGTGGTTTGATCATCGTTATTTGATTCCTCTTCCTCGTTGGCTGACTCAGCGTTATCACTATTTCCTGAATCATCTGTGTTACTATCACCACCATCAGACTCATTATCTAATGAGGACGATGTTGTAGTTGTACTTTTCTGAGATGATTTATTTTTCGGCGCGGATTTATTTGATTTGTTAGATGGTGTTGAATTTTCGTTTGATTTTTTAGGTGTTTCAGATTCTTCGTTTTCATTTGACGATGCTTGAGCGTCATTTTCATCATTATCAGATGATTTGGTAGTTGATCCATCACCTTGAGATTGATTATCTTTAGTATTGTCAGTTAAATCCTCAGTAATATTTTCAGAGTTTGCATTAGCATTGTCATTTTGACTATCTTCAGAATTATTACTTGTGCTTTTTGAGTTATCATTTGAAGCTTGATCATTTACATCTCGTTTAAAATTGCGGTGTAATCTTTCCCGGTCATCTGATAGTGACAAAACCCTCTCAGGTTGGTTAATTGCATCGGCTGCAATTAAACATATATATTAAGAAAATATGTATGTTTACCATGGTAAATAAATAAATTAATTAATTAAGAGCTACGTTCGGTCAAAAGACTTTCAAAATAAAATTTTTTTGTATATTGAAAAAAAGAGTTACCTATGTCAATAATTGGTCCATATTTCGATTCACCTAAAAAAATATCAATGTGTTAATCAAAATTAGTTATTGAAGAAATAATACTTTGTAGCTTTCATAATCATGTCTTTAAATAAAATACGATAGTGTCACTACTGATAATTAAATTTGAAACGAATAAAAAATATTCACTACACTAATTTAGTACACTAAAGGTCACTAAAGGTCACAACTCTTCATTACCACGGTCACACAACTTATGTTTAAAAAAATCACCTGATGGAAACGCTCGAGCACCAACGAACGAAAATACAATCAGGGCCAAGGAGGCCCCGACGATAAGGCGCATCTCGCGCGAGAAAACTTGAGAAAATATTTTTTGAAACGTTAACCAAGACTTAGAACAATCTTCGGCTGAATGTTAATAAAATGGCATAAGAAGCGCTTTTATACAGCCGTTGCCCCTCCAATAGTTGGAAAAATGCAAAAAGCCGATTATACCCGGAGGCTGCACTTATAATCCGAGAGTTTAAAGAGAGATGAAGAAGATTGCCTGAAAGGGAATAAAAAGAATTAGCATCTCCGATAGGAGCGTGAGTGCATATCCGTTTTGAGAAGAGAATACGAGACGCCTGATAAGCATCGCGTATTAGCGTCTATTCCGTCGAGATGTGTCTATCCTATCGGCAAATTGATCACTTCGCAGATAGCAGAGCAGATGATTAAATTTCACGCGCTATGGAGGAGCGATTAATCGACACCACTGCCATGGTTGTATAATTTATATGCGCAGCAGAGATGCAGCGATGTTAGGGAAATGAAATGATTACGCAGAAGTCAAATCGGCTGCGTATTATTTCCCCCCCCCCCCCTCTCCACCGTTAGAAACTCTGCAGCTCTGTACCACCGATGCAGATATATATGTTTATTGTTCGTTGGTTAGGTAATTGTGCAGCAAATGATCGCGCAAAGAGTCTGCAATAGGTGAAAAGTAGAAATATCATCGTTCGTTAATCGGCGTTTGATTAACGCCGTCATTCCGAGAAATCGAAGATGTACAATTGAGTGTTTGAATCGAACGATTTCGTTCGAAACAATTGGAGAATGAAATTTTATGCCAGTTCATCGTACATTTATTTATAAATACTTGTTCAGCTGCATTTTGGCATATTATAAAACTTGAAATTTCGACAGATTATTCTCATGTGAATTAATTTTTGTTTTTTGAAATTGTGGTTTTTTGCAACATCAAAACATTGACGTATTACCAACATTTTACTCCACACTGAGAGAAGGATTTGTTTACTGTACAAGTACAACGTACAAGTATGTTAACAGAAAATTAGCTTATGTATTCCTTATAACTTTTTAAATTTTAACTGACACAGGCGGCATGTTAATAGTTAACATGACACATTTATGTTGAACCTGCACCGCCTTAGATGGCACCACACGGGATGCATATTATACGTAAGTTAATAGTTAACGTATAAAATTAATTACTAACAAATCATTCTCTCAGTGAGCCTACAATCGCTGCTACTTTTGCAATATTTCGTAACGTTGATCTATGACTTAGAATTTCAACTTACAAGAAGTAAACGTTGATAACAATATAATCTTACGAAGCTATACATTTAATTTATGCAATACTTACATATTTCGAGATAAATGATCTCGTAGATTGAAAACCGGCAGACAATTTACGTTATTTCGATGGTTGACTCAAAAATTATTTTGACGAAATTTTATAACTTACAATCAGAATTGCATAAAACATAGTTTTAAATAAAAATACGTTATATAATTCCTTTAAAAATAAGTTCAGTTGTGATTAAGCTGATATGGTTACTTGGGTTAAATGATGCAACTTCTTGTTTTTGATGAAACTTTAATGAGAACGCCTCACCATCTTTCCATCGAACTATGACCTCTAATTTCTCAGTATTTTTTGCAAGTTATCTAATGTTTGGATTTTCCATGCATCGCAGCTAAGATGTACACACAAAACATCGCAAGTATGACTAACCATCGGAAAAACCAGAAAATTTTGATGAAATAGATAAGTAAGACTCAATGGTTGGGTATGAACAGAAATATTTTTAAAATGAGCAACTGCATGAATCACGTCTGCATAATATTAACCTTCACACACACACGCCATCCTCACTCGAGTTATTGAATAAATCAATTAAAGTCAGGGGGAGATGACCACTGGATCCAATCGTAGCATTTGCTGTGTTGAATTCAAGTATCAACATTTTTTATCACGACTAAAATTAAGTACTACTTAAGTAAAAAATATTTTTCCCTGTCTCGGGACGTTTTTCGTGACATTTGGACGTTTTTACTGGGCCCTCGGTTATGGGAAAAATAGCCTTTATTTACGGCCAGAAGGATATGCACACGAAAACTGCTATTATCAAGCAACGAAAAGGCACATCGATATTTTTTTCATACAGAAGCTATACAGTATTAAAGATTTTTTACATATTTTATAGTAACGTAATTAATTTTTCATTATTTTCTTGAAACATTTATTGATTTATATTATCAACAAAAGGTGTTGACATGGAGTAATCAAATGTATTGTTCATGAGACGAAACAATGAAGTTTTTGTCAAGTAAACCCCACACCTGCTTATATTTTACACACTTGGTGTAAAGAGACGAAGTGCAAAGACAATGCATAATTGTATACATCTTGAAACACGCGTGGCTTGTACTCAAAATTTTTGACTTTGAAGAGTCGTATAGGATACGAAATTAAACGATTACGTACATGGTAACAATAACAAATAGACTAGTGATCGTATTCTTAAGGACACGACTCCTATTTTCTTTCCGTAATAATTGTATAGGCCTATATTTTTTCGCATGTACTTAATGCCCGTATGAAAAATCATATGGACTCCAGAAATCGAAGTAGTCCCCTTTTCTTTAACTTATTTTATATTAGGTACTCCAGTGTAGGGTATACTTCGAACTCTTACGTGAAATAAAAACTTGAAATATGGCGCAAATATGGCGCTATTAAAAGCCACGCATGCGCACAGCTACTTTTTTATTCCGAAATTTTAAAAGGAGTCACGTGGGTATTCCACGCGTAGGGCGTAGAGAGCAGCCATTGCTGACGTCGTCGTCATCACCGTTGTCGTCGTGAGAGTTTCGTGAATAGATACATTTGTACGGAGTAAATCAAAGAACCCGAAGACGCCACCAATTGTCTCTTCACCAGGAACAGATATATATCTTGGTATCACTGAAAAGGTGAGCAGCTCCAGCGAGTAAAGGCACAGTGTTTTGTGCTCAAGGTGAACGACAGAAGGCGAGGGCAATAGAACTTTCATGACCCGCGTAAGCCGAGCAAAGTAGAACAGGAGATCCCGCGTGGGGTAGTTATGCCGAGTTTATGCAACACCGGCTTCCTTGGAGTTCCAGAAGATGCTTGGGTTTTTATTTTGAGAAGCTTATTGTCTTAGCCTGAGAAGGTCTTTTTCATGTTAGATTCATTTCAAGTTCCAGTGGATTTCTTGTAAACACACGTAAACTAGGAATACAGGGAGGCTTGGTGTTGAGGTCAAAGTTTACTGATGACTTGCAGATATTTTAAAACAGCCCATCTTAAATAATAGTTTTTCTATACTTGAGTCGTTTTACTTGATAGTTTTAACTTTGGGTAAATTATTTATCTGTCAGGCTTATTTGTAAGAAGGAAAATTAAATGGTGTTTATATTTTGTTCAATAATATTTGCATCTGTTAGTAAAGATTATAATGTCTAATTTTACACAAAGTTAAAATGTGAAAATAATATAAAGTCAAAAATAAAGATTGTTAAAGTGCTACATTTGTGTTTCAGATTTGTATGATTTTGTAAATCAACATGGGAGACTCCGATGATGAGTACGACAGAAAGCGTAGGGACAAATTCAGAGGAGAAAGAACAGAATCGTACAGAGAAGGACGCGGCAGAGATGATAGGCGAAGAGGAGGAGGAGATGACTGGCCAGATAGGTAGTTAAAAATCTATAATTTTCATTGACTAACCTCTTCAAATTTTATTGAGTTAAAACATCAACGAATGTTAAAATCAACAAAGCTATCTTGAAACCTTATACATCTAATCCTCTACCCCCACGTGCAGGGATTGGTCCAACAGACCTCGAGCAAGACCGGACTATCGAGATTACCGAGGTGGAGGTGGCAGGGAACGCTACAGTCCAGCTCGGTCGCAGGATATGGCGCCCCCGATGAAGCGTATGCGAGGTGAATGGGACGACCGACCCCCTCGAGGTGGTCACTCCTATGACTACTATGGTGAGAGGGAACCTAACCCTGGAGGTGGTGGTGGCGGAGGTGGCGTCGGTGGCGGTGGTGGTGGTGGTGGCGGAAGAGGGTCAGCATGGGGACCTGATCACTATCCACCCAACCATCCTGTCAATCACCACTATGGTAACCATAGCAACAATAATAGCAGGTGAGATGCCGTTTGTTTTCGTCGGCGATGTGCTATTGTTTCGGCGAGTTTACAATAGCGATGTGTCAATCATAACCTTTTTTTGAATGTAAAACAAAGGTTGAATAATATTTAGTCTGCTACTAGACAGTGATTAGAAAATGAATTTTCATAGGCCGGTTAAGAGGAGTCGCTTGACTCCAAAGTTGTTGGCAAGGATGAGGTATATTTGTGTAAATGTAATAAACAAATGTGAAGTTATACGTCTTGAATACCTGTTGCAGTCGAGAAGTGACTGGAGGGGCCTTCAATAATTCCAATGTGGAGACTCAGCCCCCTATGATGACTTTCAAAGCATTCTTGGCAACCCAAGAAGATTCCATTACAGATGAAGAAGCAATCAAACGTTACAACGAGTACAAACAAGAATTCAGGAGACAGCAGCTTAATGAATTCTTTATTGCACATAAGGACGAGGAATGGTAAGTTTTGGTCACACATTTCATTGCATTGGTTTTTTTATAACACCACCTTTGTTTGTAAATACGTTCCTTCGAATTGTTATTGTTAAATTTCATGCATGATTGTCACTTATACATTCATATTTTCCTCCGTGTCTGTTAATTTTAACTTTTTACCCTTTTAAAATTTTGCCTTGACAAATACCTACTACTTTTTTTTATGACATTAAATTTATGTTATTTAATTTTATATCAGTTAATTTTAGAGTGATTTCCTTTTTTTTCTGAATATCATTAATCATACAATCAATTCAATTAAGCAATAGCACAAATAAGTACTATATGAACACAGAGGAAGAATAATGTCAAGAGTATTCACGATTGTTTGTTTAAAAAGCAATCGCCATGCACAAGTCGGATCCTTAATAATCGTAACTAATGTATGCTATCCCTTGAAATAAACAAAGAAATACAATGCTAGGTATTAATTTAACAAAAAATGTCAATAGAATGTCTGTCTATCCCTACAGCAAGCAGTCATGGCATGGGTCTCAGCTTCAATTTAAAAAATGCGCACAAATGATTGATTTGTTTGCGCGAGCGAGATCTAAAGCGACACACGCGTCGTCGAAGAAAAGACTCGCATTGACGCAAAATAGTTGCAAATTCCGTTCTTAGCTTAGCTCTCGTCTAAAAAAACATTGCTTGCATAAAAAGAGATATATGGTAAACAATGAAATAACCAATTCAAAGGTGTCCTAGGCGCGCAAGGCCTAGTTGATGCCCGGGGATTAGGTCGCGTTTTAAACCCGTTCACAATTAGGGAAAACTTTAAACCGCGATTTCATTTTTTGCTGATGAATATTTATAACAAAAAGAGCGTTTAAATTCATCGAGCTACGATGAATGCATGTGGTGACACAGGTGAGGATCCATTTAAGCATTGGGTCATATTGACATATTATACTGTCAATACATGTAATATAATTAATAATAGATAGTCTATAATGATAATTTATTATAGGTGTATATACATTTTTTTGAGCCAATGGAATTGATTTTTTCTTTATGAACAAATAATGTTGATTATTGTGCAGTATTTTCAAGTTTCATCACATAAAGTTAAATAGCTTTTCATTACATTTTTCTGTTATTCAATTTTAGTCTGTTCGATCAACAAATTCTTCCAATGGGCATATTTAAAACGTAAATTCAATGAGACATTTATGCTCCAACTGTATGTAACAGAAAAAAAAAAATTAGAAAAAAACAAATGAGCAGTTGTTAACGAAACTAAATATCGTACAAATTACCTGCAACAAAGTTTTTAATGGCCTTAAATATTATCATATAATGTATTGCAACATAGTATATATTAGCTAGTTGTTAAATATAGATACTTAAGTACATAAATACACAATCACATACTAATAAGAGTATTTCTTTTTATTTGCACACCACCAGGTTCAAAATCAAATATCATCCAGAAGAATCCGTCAAACGAAAAGACGATCAACTTTCTTCATTGAAAGTAAGCTATAGCCACAGAAGAGTTTCACATAATTCCCTAAACATTTATTTCACGTAACGTATGTTACATTTCCAGAAACGCGTTGAAGTGTTCCTTGAATTGCTTGATAAAATGGAAATCGACAAGGTGTCAGTTGACGCAGACCAGAGCGATCAACTGTTACGTCTGCTCGATGCAGTTGTTATTAAGCTAGAAGGTGGCACCGAAGAAGACCTGAAGGTCTTAGACGCCAAGCCCCTTAGTCTGCCAATAAAGGAAATCCCTATCAAAGTGCCTATTATCAAGAAAGAGGTTGATAAGGAAATAAAGGAAACTGGTTTGTACAACATTAAAAATAAAGGCATATTCCTTACGATTAAGCTTTGTTGTAACAAGCGTTATTAATTTTTCAGTCAAAATTAAGGTTGAAAAGCCAGACGAACCTGAAAAGCCAAGCGAAGCAAAACCTGAAGATGCCAAAAACAAAGATCAAAACGGTGATGTCGAGATGAAAGAGCCCGAGAAAGAGCAACCAAAGGAAACCCCGGCTGAAGAGGCTGAGACCAAAGAAGCCGAAGAAAGTAAAGATGAAGAAGAACAAGAGGAAAAGGAGACCGAGCCGGAGGAGGAAGCTGAAAAATCTGAGGAACCTAACTTAAAGAAACGCAAGCGAACTACCAGTAACAGCAGTAGTAGCAGCAGTAGCAGCAGTAGTTCCTCTGACAGTGATACCAGTAACAAACCTGGTACCCCACCTGGGCCTCCTCGTGAGTAAATTATTTTGTATGGTATTTTCAATTTTTAAACAATTGTTTATCAATTTATTTTGTTTGTAGCTACACTAGAAGAGAAAGAAGAATCAAAAGAAGAGAAAGATACTGAGGCTGAACCTGAAGCAGAAGCAGAAGCTGAGGCAGTAGCTGAAGCTGAAGCTGAGACTGAAGTTGAAAAGCCAGTTGAGAAGGAGGTACCTGAAACTCAAGAAACAGAAAAGGAAAGCACACCCGAGCCTCAACCAGAAAAGCCAAAAAAGAAAGATGAGTCGGTGATTGATTTGGCAAGTGAAAAAGAACCTCGTGCTTTGCATAAAACTAGCAGTATATTTCTTAGAAATTTAGCCCCAACAATCACAAAAGCAGAGGTTGAAGCTGTGAGTATTCCATTTTTTACTGAAAGTTTTGAGGATATTCAGCAAAAAAAAAGAAATTATTAATCATTATATTTTTAGATGTGTAAACGTTTCCCTGGATTTTTAAGAGTAGCTATTGCTGATCCTCAACCAGAAAGAAGGTGGTTCCGTCGTGGTTGGGTTTCATTTGAAAGACAAATCAATATCAAAGAAATATGTTGGAGTTTAAATAACATAAGGGTACCAATTTTACTTCTAATTTTTTAATTTAATCAAACTCAATCGTAACATACATTTTGTGATTTTACCTTCAGTTAAGGGATTGCGAACTCGGTGCTATTGTGAATCGCGACCTATCCCGACGCATTCGCAATGTCAATGGCATAACTTGTCATAAGCAAATTGTGAGAAACGATATCAAGTTGAGCGCGAAAATTGTGCATAGTCTAGATAATCGTTCAGGTCTATGGATGGAGATGAAAAAAGACATCCCTAAGGATGATGAGGCCAAAAAAGAACAGGCTGCTATTGATATAGAACAAGCTGTAAGTATGATTTAATAGTTATGAAACAAATATAGAGGGTTTATGCGTTTTAATCTAATGTCCTGATGAACAAATTTTTCAGGCATTTGGGCTGTCTTCCAAAAATCCAATCTTGAAAAATATCACTGACTATCTTATTGAAGAAGCCTCCGCGGAAGAAGAAGAGTTACTTGGTGTCTCGGGCGATCATGAAGAAGGACAGCTATCAGGCGAAGGAGAGGAGAAAGTTGAAAAGGACCCTTCCCTCACTAAAGTTTTGGATAAGCTAATCCTCTATCTGCGAATTGTACATTCTGTCGATTATTACAACCATTGTGAATATCCAAATGAAGATGAAATGCCTAATCGATGCGGTATTTTGCACGTTAGAGGTGCACCTCCAGCTAACAAAGTATCTAGCAATGAAATCATGGAGTACTGCAAAAATTTTGAAAGCAAAATGGCTGCGTTCCTTGCACCAGTAGCTACAGTTACTCCCAGCGATTACGAGAAACTTGGAGCAAAGAATGCAGAAACGTAAAAATCATTTTATAATTTTCACTTTTCATTTTTATTATTGATGGACTTAAAATTTACTTAACTGCTTGACAGTGAGGTGGAAAAGTTTGTCCAAGCGAATACACAGGAGTTGTCGAAAGACAAGTGGTTGTGTCCGCTCAGTGGCAAAAAATTCAAGGGTCCAGATTTCATTCGCAAGCATATTTTCAACAAGCATGGGGAGAAAGTTGCAGAAGTGAAAGCCGAGGCTGAGTACTTCAACAATTACTTGAAAGATCCAAAGAGGCCGCAACTGCCTGAGCATCCAGGAAACAAGGCACCCCCAAGGGAACCTGTCAGAGAACCTGGTTATGGATCTTACAACTCTGGAGGGTATGTCGATTTTTTAACTGATTTTTGTTTGTTTCCTGTAGCAAAGCTGCCTTACAAGCTATTTAATACGTATTTTAATTATAATTATAAAAACTACGTGACCAACGTATATGTTTAGAGTCAAGAAGATAACGTTTAACAAAGTTATACATTTATCTTATTTTTTATAACTTGAGATTTCAAAAGTTGTACGTTACTTATTGGCAAGGACCAATTTTACAGCAGGGACTTGAACCATGTGTCTGAATGATCTGATATTGCTTTTAAAAAATTTTTTTCATTATTGCTCATAATTTTATGTAGAACTTGAAAAAAAAATTACGATAGTTGTACAATAGTCGTTGGCCCTTGGATTAATTCAGTACCACTTTGGTCCCTGACATCACATCAAGTAAAATATGGCTCGTTTTTCTTTACGTTTATTTAAGCTCTCGGACTCCAAGTAGATTCGCAGGCAATTTTGGAGGTAACTTTGGCAACAATCGAGGTGGTTTTGGTGGTGGCTATGGTCCCGGATTTGGCGGTGGTTTTGGTATGCCAAGGTCGAATCGTGGTGGTTTCAACAGAGGACGGTAAGAAATCGCTTTGTTCACTTTTTGGAGTGTCGCATTTTTAAGCTGTGATCAATGATAAACATACATTGGCAATTGGTTTAGTTTTAAAACTGTTGTTATGTTTGTCCATTACAATATTACTATTAATTAAAAATTTGTAACAGTTGCTAACTGAAATACTAATAACCAGGCTATTATTTTAAGCGATGCGACAAATTATCCACACCCATACTACTAACCTCCAGTAGAAAAAATTATCCATAGTTTAATAACGAATCCCAAGAAACATCAAAATTCTCATTTTTACATCTAATTAGTATTCTGAGGAACCCTAGTTGTATTGTTCAAACGTAGAATTTTTCACAATTTTCCTGAGTGAGATTTAAAAAAAAGTACACGCAAAAACAATCCCTAACTTACTAACCAGGGCTGCTCCAGATTTCGTGTCATGACCGATTATTATTTATAACGATCTCCACCAGCTGGATGTTGAATTATTTTATATGTTACAAAAAAAAAAACGTTTTACGATTTAGTCCCTAATTTATTGTGCCAGCAGATTATAATCTGGATTCGGTAGCACCTAAACTTGTTTTTGATTAATATTTCATCAGCAAGTGTTACCCATGATCAGCACATTTGTACTTTCAAATATCTAACGGAAGCATGTTTCTCTGTTACTTAGGTGAATTATAGATCGTTTCTGCATACTTTTTAATTTAAAAATTTGTATCATATTTTTGTAAGTGAATTTTTATACAGTACTTCGAATGTATAATTTTTGTACTTCATTATAAAATAGTGGGTTCCTTAGCAAATGTGATAACGAAAATTTGAACTAAATTTCTCCTTGAATATTCCTAATCCATTAGTTCATTGTTGTACTAGTACTTCCTATCCAGTAAGTCCAGACGACGCATCACGATACCGCTATTTTTCGCGAAACTAATTATTTTGTTTGTTTCTTGTTTGCTGAAAATTGCAGTGGTGGCCCCGAGTTCAGACCAGTTATACATTACCGTGATCTCGACGCGCCACGGGAGCCTGACGAATTCTTGTAAAAGAACAACAGATGTATTTTTTTTTTTTTTTTCATCTTTATGTATGAATTCCCGCGTAAAAAAATCAAGCTTAATAAACTTAAAAAAAATTTATTTTGTTCTTGTTCAGAAAAAGTTTTTTTAAAGTCTTTTCTTGAGGCAGAGCGAAACTTGGTCAGAAGTTACAAGTAAATGTATCTAAAATAAAGTGTAAAAAATGTTATATAAAGTTTAAATAGAGTAATTGAAATGTAAAATGTATGTGTGAGTTCATATTAAAATGTAACTTAAAAAAATTAAAAAAAAACTTTATTTAAAGTTTAAACGGAGTTTAATTTACCTGAATAAATACTCTTATAGAATTTTTGCGAAAATGAGTACATAGTTAAATGAAAATAGTATTTTTTTATATATCTATTTTATTCGATTTCCAAATCATTCAACTTTGTTGTTAAGTACAATTTGTATTCAATATTTGTACAAAAACATATATTTCTGATATTTTCAATTTGAACAACAATAAACTCGTTAGTTCTTTGAAAATTAAACATAGATGGAACACAATCATCTAATTCATGACAATAGAAAGCTTTTTCGACACGCCCTTTCTTACAACAGCATAACTTTTACATTCTTCTGTACAACTTTCGTAATTGAAAAAACATGGGTATTCACAGTAAGTATAAAGTTATCTAATAATCCACAATAATAAGTACCATTAGTATTAAATACAATACAAGAAGAAATTTTTTTTTTTCGAAGCATATGCATTAGTTTCATAATAAATTCCAAAACTTAATAATCCATTAAACTTATAACATTTTTCATTATTAAACTGTATATTTCTCCTACGTAAAAAATTAAATACGTCCTCTGAAACAGCTGTATTTACTTTACCTACCACATACATTTTATGGTCAATTTTCTTTAATTTACGTCTATGTGTGCCTCTCTTTTCAATACTTTTTCAATAATAATAAACGTCACTTTTATCTTTCATTTCTGTAAAATTCAGATGTGTAACAATAGAAGAGCAAATTTGAAGTTCAGGACTGTTCGAATCATGAACGTACCTTTTTAAAATTCCACTCAAATTCTTAAAAGGGAAACAGGTCATGACCTAGAGAGGACCAAATTTTTCTACCTCATTAGCTAAGTGAAGTACTTAACAAATGCACATTACAAGTCATGCTCTTTAGTCCGTACAAGTTTTCAAATCGTCTTACACATTCTGATAACAAATTTTTTACACCATCTATCATTTTTTAGCTTATAGGTACTAGATGCATTTAACAGACTGATTCCAAAAACTAACAAAACGAAATGTTCGAAATATGTTTTCGACATTATTCCTTTTAACAGAAGCAAACTATACGCTAGTAAGAATAATTTCAGTTCTGATGCTTTCCAATATTTATAATCATTTACTTGTCTAGGAATTCTTTGAATAAACGATGGCATTTTAATGTTTTTTATTCTTATATTAATCATGTCAATGTAAACATATAGGGAAGAGGGGTGAGTATACGACTTGTCTCATCGAAATAGTAAAACATAAGTTTCTTCATGATCCCTTGGAACGCGTAATGCATCTCATCAATTGCCGTTGATTCAACATCATCTTTGATGAGTAAGCTTAAGGGAGAAGGGCCTTTTATTCCGGATACAACTTTTCCAGATTCGTGAGCTTGTTTTGCAAGTATTTTTGTCTCCTCTGTAGTCCTACAATTTAAATTTTCAACAAATGAGAACGTCTGCTAAGTTTCAATTGTACAGTTTTTACAGCCATTTTTACCATTGTATTGAGTCATGTTTAAAAATAAAGCCTATGCTGGCAAATCACACGTGCCACTGATAATAATTCCTCTAACATGAATCAATTCATTAACAAGTGGTGTTTTAAAGTAAACGCCATTGTATAATTTTTTTAAGTCGTCTTTGAAAACAGACGTAAATAAAACAGGATCAGGGTTCTTTGCACCAACCCAAATTCCAGCAACGATCAAATTTTCTTTTTTAATATTATGAAATGTATCACATTCAATGAATATATTGTTAATTTCAGTTTTAACTTCAATAAAACTCCATTTAAACTTTGTAAAAAAAATCTTCAACTTTTTTTTTTATATACATTTGCTCAGACAAAGTTAATTAACAAAAGGCAAACAAAAATTTTGTTGAACGTGAAACAAACATTTTATAAAGTTCGGAGTAACTTTTTTTAAATATTTGTTTAAAATTCTGACCAAGTTTCGCTCTGTCTCGAGAAAATACTTTAAAAAAACTTTTTTTTAAATTTTTTAAGCTGGAATTTTTTTGACGCCGGAATGTATGGAAGGAATTAACCAGTGAACGAGTGACTATTTGGGGCTGGAAGACAGGAAAAAAACATTACGTTATCTCAATAGATCAGAATTTTTATTTTTTACATGACTGTTTATACAAGTGATAAAGAGAAAACTGCCTAATTTCCAACAACACACAAATACATTTTTTCATCTGCAGTGATTCAATACGAATGTAAGTAAACAACAGCTATACTATCGATGATAGTTTAGATTTGATGGGAAAAATTGTTTAATTTCCTTTCTGGCGCATTACTTACTTGGGATAGGTTATAAAATTGCACTTGGGTGTATAAAAGACATTTAAAACAAGTACATGACTACCAACCGTTAACATTATGTGAACAAAAATAGTGGAAAAGAATTGTATTCCAGCCCTGAAAAAGAACGAATCAATTTAATGAATTTATTATCACTGTGAATACAATACGTGTGGGTAGTTTTTTTTTTTTTTTTTTTTTTTTTTTTTTTTTTTTTTTTTTTTTTT